CCATGTTTTATCCACAAAATATACAGGCGATCCACCTCATAGCCCTGTGAAGCACTTTGAGATGTCTCAAGACCATAAGGCGATATATCAAATGCAAGGATTATTGTTATTATTGTTACTTAACTGCCAGTGTGTGTGAAACACAACAGTATAACTTACACTCTTTGGGACTCCCTCCCTGTAAGACCTCACTATCACCCACTTGCTATCCGTCTTTAAATTCCATCTGAAAATCTACTTCTTTGTCCACCTCTCCGTTGCCTCCCTCCTTGGCTCAATCCTGCACTTGTAAAGAGATCCAAGACATCGCCCTACATGATGGCCTCTGTATAAATGTCAGTGTTTTATGCTCTCAGGAATATAACACCAGGCCTCTCCTCTCGTCAGTTAAACTCCTCGAGCCCAGGTATTAATCTAGCAGCGGGAGGCTTGCCAGACACTTCTCGCAAATGCAAGAAGCTTGCTTGGCTCCTGCCATCGTGCTCCCAACACTACGTCATGGCATTAAGTTCTTCACAGCATATACTGTAAAGTGAATTGACTGTATACTTTGTGGGAGAATCGCAGCAGCCAATTGCGCACAAAAGCGTCCCCACAAACAGCCGTGGATTGATTGACTACACTATTATTTTTTTGAATGGAGTATTTTCAGAAAGTGATCCGTCAATCGACTAACAATCACGTTCCTACTTACTGTTGGTAAACAGAGGCGCGTGGAGTGAGTGAGTGAGTGAGTGAGCGAGCGAGGAGTGAGCGAGAGAGCGAGCGAGCGAGTGCTCTGCCCGGGAATCGAACCCAGGTCCTCTCATTTGCGAGGCGAGTGCATCAACCACTGAGCTACAGGAATCCATATCCGGGAGATTGTCGGCCAGGACACCGGGAGAGACGAGTGAGGGATTAGGGGAACCACAACAAAGAAGGTGGTTGAAAACTATCAGAGCTTGTGGTTTCTTCTCACCCACATCGTGTTGCCACTCTGCAATGAAGCAGCTTGAAGTTCAATCAAATTATAAAGTATTCGTTCAATTTCTCTTTTCCAACAGCGCTGAGGGATCTTTAACATCCACCGGCACCGGCCACAGACGGGGACCTCGGTTTAACGACTCATCCGAAGGACGGTGCCGAGGTCAACCCAGCACTCCCCCAGCACTGCATCGGACGCCAGCGTAGGTAGAGTATGGGAGTTGGCAAGGTGGGTGGGTGTGGGAGAGGGTGATGGAGGCAGTGGGATTAAATGTGAGCAGCTGCACAGACACAACAGACCGAATGGCCTCCTTTTGTGCTGCAAGTAATCTGTGATTTGATATATTAGGCAGAGTAACACAATTTGGAACGTGTTCCAGGGCCACAGGAATACATTAAGGGGTTGAATGTTAACAGAAACCACTCGAGTGATTTACAGAGATGTTGCCATGTAGTCGGGCCTTATAACTCTGCATGTTATGTGTTATCCTCAATACCTGGCTTGTCTGATCCCATTACTATTGATAACCTCACGCAGCATAATGTTTGCAACTCACAATCAGCTGGTGTATGTCCCAGGAGCATTACATGATCAGTTTTGTCAGGAAGAATAAAATAAGTCTTGCCTTTGTTTTCCCCATAGCGCCTGGTGACCTTGCACTGCCTCCTTGCTGTGCCAGTCGTGCTGTGGTCTGCGGGTCAGAAGGTAGCTAGGGTAAGCAGATCGGAGCGTTAGGGAGGTGCCAGGGCATGAATGGATTTGAAAATGAGTGCGAGGATCAGAAAATCAATCCAGATTGGGAGGTAGGGGAGCCTGGCGAGGACAGCGGAGTTTGGTGTGGGTGAGCAAAAGGAACGAGTGTGGGAGTTAGGGGGACCACAACAAGGGAGGTGGTTGAAAACTACCAGAGCTTGCGGTTTCGTCTCACCCACATCGTGTTGCCGCTCTGTAATGAAGCAGCTTGAAGTTCAATCGAATTATAAAGTACTCGTTCAATTTCATGGGTTTGACTCAATTTCACCTCATTTACAGCCACTCAACAGCGTGTCATCAACCTGAACCAAACTCACATCACCCCCCCACCCCCCAGTACCTCATCCATCCCGTTGCAAATATTTGTCGGAGGCGCCATCTTTCGGATGAGACGTTAAACTGTGGCCCAGTTTGTGTCTGTTCAGGTGGACATTAAAGATCCCTCATGGCTATTCAATAAGAAGGGAGTTTCTTCTTGTGATTTTTGTTGGTCAACCGGACGCCTGACACAATATGTGGAACAACAATAACAACAACAAAATTACAATCATAGAGCCCCTTTCACGTCGGGAGGACGTCCCAAAGCGCTGAACAGTCAGGTGTCGGGGCCCGGAGCCAATCAGGAGGGCTTCGGTTTTGCTGATGTTGAGTTGGAGAAAGTCGTCCCTCTTCCAGGACTTGATGTCGGACAGGCAGTCGGTCAGGACACCAGTAGTCCTGGAGTTCAGGGTGGAGGCAGAGAGATAGAGTTGGGTGTCATCACATACATGTGGAAATTTACCTCATGTCTGAGGATGACATCACCAAGGGGGAGCATGTAGAGGGTGAAGAGGAGGGGACCGAGGACAGAGCCCTGAGGAACACCACACGAGACAGTGCGGGGGCTGGAGGAGAAGCCGTTTGCCACGACGAAGTGGAGGCGGTGTGAGAGGTAGGACCTGGAAACAGAATTTATGTAAAAAAATGTGACTGCAGTGTTTCTTCCACAAAATACAGTCTCTCTTCATTGCCTGACCAGCAATCAGCGATATCAATAGTCAATCTCTGTGGTTTAGCCGGTTAGTCACCAGCACTTACCCCAACACACACTCTGGGGCCCCCCAAGCCTTGGCTCTTGCCAACCTGCACCTAATACTCTCCGGAATTAGGTAAGGAGGGGTCATCCCTCCAGGGCGAGAGAGAGAGAGTGTATTTGATTCCAACAATCTATCTCTGGGATTTCCATGTGTCGGTGGGATTTATGGAATTCTCAGTTTGGGTTTGGAGACTCATAAGCAACAATAAAGTTTCTGTGTGTGTCAGACACCCGAATGGGCAAAAACAATCAGTTTATCTGCTTAACCCAAAGGACAGCACCTCTGACAATGCAGAGCTCCCCCCACACTGCACAGGAACAAGCTTCTAAATGACAACATTTCTTTTTTTTAACAAAAGCTTTGTTGTTCGGTTCTGCCGCACTTGTGAAATATTCATCACTGTAATTTATAAAATATTTATTGTAAGCTTCCCCAGGGCCACGTTTGAATTGATAATACATGTCTGGGAATCTCAGAGATGGATGCCGGCATTTCCAATCTGTTAAGTGCTTTTGCAAAGGTGTTGTTGTCCCCATTCCTCCCCCCCAACAACTCACCACCCCATTTGCAATTCGATAATAATAATCCTTGTATTTGATATAGCGCAATATCACGCCTTTGAGACATCTCAAAACTTTTCAAAGGCGAAACACGGCAGCTAATTGTGCTCAGCAGTATCTCACAAGCAACAACAACAACAAGATTCCATTTATAAAGCGCCTTTCATGTCAGGAGGACGTCCCAAGGCGCTGCACAGTTGGGTCATAACCCGAGCAGGGGGGAAATGGTCAGGGTGAGGGGAGGGAAGGGAGGAGGGGGAAATGGTCAGGGTGATGGGGAGGGAAGGGAGGGAGCGAGGAGGGGGGAAATGGTCAGGGTGAGGGGAGGGAAGGGAGGGAGCGAGGAGGGGGAAATGGTCAGGGTGAGGGGAGGGATGGAGGGAGCGAGGAGGGGGAAGAGAGTCGAGAGGGGAGCTGAAGGCTCGGTCAAAGAGAAAGCAGTCATGGAATCAGTGAACACATTTATTTTAAGGGATTGTTACCCCTGGATAGCAATCCGCCAATCGACTAACAACCGGGTCCCTACTGACTGCCTGTAAACAAAGGTGTGTGGAGAAAGGAAACTTGCCTAAGGTTTTGCCCTGTCCGGGAAGCGAACCTGGGTCCTCTCACTTGCGATGCAATTGCTGTAACCACTACACTACAGGCTTCCACCATAAAAAGAGAACCCAGAGCGAGTCCAACCGTGCCAGGCTGACACCCAAATTGATAGGGGACTGAGGAAACACTGGCTACAAGACTGAGGGCGCAGCTGGTGAGCGCTGGAAATCATCCCAACTAATGAAACTAAATAAATATTATGGCGACATACTATATGGGAAAAAATAAAAGATCTGAGTTGTGAAATTATTTGCCACAACAAAGTACCACCGTCAAGAACATCACTGCCTTTGAAGGTGGCTGATTGAACATTAGTGACTGACAGGCTGATGAATGGAGAAAGGAGGAAAGCTCCTGTTATGGTACAGTAAACAATGCTCAACGCCAAGCAGTAACATTCTCAACGTCAAAATGAAAAAGTAATTCGAAGGCTAAGGAAGACGCTGCATTCACAGTAATCCAAAGTGACTAATATGAAAAAGGTTTTGCTTTGCAAACCCGAGCTTATTTGCCCGCCACACAAAGCAATGTCGAGCCTGTTGCTGCGACCAAATTGGAATGAATGTGTCATAAAGATAATCCTTGCATTTGATACAGAGCTTCATCACATCGCCGAAACGTCTGAAAGCGCTTTTACTGTAATTTATAATAATCTTTGCATTTGATATAGCACCTTATCACATCGTTGAGCAGTTTCAAAGCGCTCATAGAATGTATTGTAAAGTGTGGTAACTGTGTATTTTGTAGGCCAACATCTCAATCAATTTTCACACAGCAAAGTCCCCACAAACAGCCACAAAGCGAATGACCAATTTTATCTGAGGGATTGTCGGCCAGGACACCAGGAGAGAGGGGAGAGAAATTCCCTCCTCTTTTCAAATAGCGCCTCGGGATATTGAACAGGCATAGGCGGGTCTCGATTTAAATGCCTCATCCAAAGAATAGTACCTCTGACAATGTGTACCCCCACAGCACTGCAGTGTGACTGACATCAGCCTTGGAAGGTAATAATAAGTAAATCTAACAGGAGCGACCACACAAAATGGATGTTGGTAACTATTTTTAATTTGAAGATTTGGTTTGACAACAGAGAATCACTGCAGTGACTGAAAGTCAGCCCAACAGTGTACAAACAGAAGAAATAACCCACAATAAACCGCTTTGTCTAAACTTTTCAAAGCAAACTTTATCATTTAATTCCTCAGAAATATCACAAGAACAGTCAAATAAAATGCAGTTTGCACACTCGGCCAGCCATTGTTTCACAACTTTAATTAAGCTGTGCAGAGTGGCTTTGTGCTTGTGTGTGAAGTATCCTCCGATTCTCCTGATGGGCTCAACTATTTGAGCTTGAAGTTTTGCTTCAAATAGGAATGTTTTTATTGTAACAGGAATGTGATTCCATTCACATACATGGTGTATTAACATTGGGTATTGGAGTTAACAAGTTTCATTGAATCAGCATTGCCTGTGTCAAATATATTCTATCAATACACCTATCAACCCGTTTTCCCCAGTCTTTGAGGTGTTGTAAAATGTGAACAGACTACCACTCATTCAAACAATCCCCATGGATTTTTCAGGGAGATTAAAAAATATATCACATTGCCTTCCATTAGATAATTGTTCCCACGATAAGAACATAGCAAAATAATCGCTACTCCTAGTGTTTATGATAGAACTCAAAATAATATTTGAGTATTACAGCACCAAACTATCAGATACAAGACAAACTACAAATCCTCCCAATTTCTCAGAGTTCATACCAGAACAGGATGGCTGAATGATTTCATCCAGCCCACTCGCTCCCTCCATAACCCGTAAATGTGATTTCATGTTTCTGGAAGGGAAACACTAAGATATTGCTGATGTGACCCAAGCACGTTTCTCAAATAGGGCTTCCAGCCAAGTGTGGACCTCCTGATACAGAATAATGGACGGTCAGTGCTCAACCCCAGGGTATGGAGTGTCCATCCCCCAAACCAGCTCCATATAAATATCCCTTGTTTTGGCTAAATTACATGATAGAAATTTCCACTCAACTCAGCCCGAAGCTAAATTAATCTGTTCGAACAAGTGTAAAACACATGCAGCAAAACGTAACAGGGGAGACTTATTACAAACTGAGTAATATAATCTTATACTGAAAATACTGTTGATGGCACCATATCACAAGATATCACAACAACTGCAACATTCGATTTCAACTGCTCAAAACACAAGTCAAATGTGAAGCTAATACGTGAGCTTTTATTTTTTTAGGGGGTTGCGGGGAGAGTGGGGGAGGCTTAAAAAACAGAACCGTACAGGGCTTGATGTTGCTCGCGAGATGGGAATTTCTCATCCATGAGGAAAATGGCATATCCTACCCCTGTGTCTGTAGGATCCACTGTCTACTCATAAGGAGGTAAGCCAAACATCTCTGGCTGGAAGTCCTCCATTGAGTTGAGCACCAATGTGGCGTTCTTTGTAAGTTGAGAGCTCAGCTGCTTATCTGGGATCATGACGACCTGCATTCCTGCTTTCACTGCACTTTCCACTCCGCTGGGGGAATCTTCAAACACCAGGCACTGAGGGCAAGAAATAGACATTCCCTTTAACAAACACACAATTTGTTCCCGTAGCTCAGTGGTTAGAGCCCTCGCCTTGCAAGCGAGAGGACCTTGCTTTGATTCCCAGGCAGGACAAAATGTAAGGCATGTTTCCTTACTCCACACCCTCTGTTTACCAGCAGTAAGTAGGAACCTGATTGTTAGTCAATTGGCAGATCATTTTCCAGGGATAATAATCCCTCAAAAAGAAAAAAAATTGATGGGACGCTGTGCACAATTGGCTGACACATTTTGCCCACAAAATTATTATTATTATAAAATATACAGTCAATTCACTTTACAGTATACCTTGTGAAGCACTTTGAGACATCTCAACGGCATGATAAGGCGCTATATTAAATGTAAAGATTATTATTATTCCTTGATCTTCCCCATCAGCATTTTTTCTTCTCCTCTCTCCCGCTCCGAGGAAGCTGACCAGCAGACCACAAAATGACAACTTAATGCATCGTCTTGTAATTACATTGCAGATATTGATAAATGACTTCTTGAAAAGTAAAACTGTGTGCAGGGAGTTGCTCTGATCGAGAAAAAAATTGATACGGGAAAGTGCGTTTCTCTGTACTTTCTAGACATTGGTAAGTATAGCCAAAGTCTGCTCGCTGCATTTTCTGGAGAAAAAATTGATTTGCTGTGGTCGTGAGCAGAGAATAAAAGACAGATAACAATTGCACTCTTGTTTTCTTGTCATTTCGTAATCCTCCTTGAAATATTTTTAATGTGTTTGGTTATAAAGAAGTAAAGCAATCTCTTCCTTTCTGGTAATGTTCTCAGTGGGCCTGTATTCTATTCAGCCAGAGTTCAGCCCCCGTTTAACCTCGCTGGCTGCACAGCTCGTTTCCCTGTACAAAATGCGTCTCAATTATGGGTTTTACATAAGCTAATATTTCTGTGACAGAAAGCTCTTCTCAGTCGCCCTTTGTGGTGGCCATGGACAGTCCATCTCCATTAACATCTCCGTGCCTCCACAATACCCCCGTCAGAATTAAAGCAGCCCCTGCCAATGGCCTTTGATGCTGACAGACTAGCCCCTTCTATGGTATAAACCTGTACTCTATAACACTCTCACTGCTCGTGAAAAGCACTGAAAAAAAGGCTCAACTGAGATACGGTTCGACTTTTGTAAGTAAGCTTAAAGACTATACAAAATGGCATTATCAGGGCTTTTCAGCAGCCTTTTATATCGAGACAGCGCATAGAATGTCCTTGACAAGCTGGCAGTCAAAGGCCTAATTGACTTCTATGATGTCACTGACTGGGTGTATGGGACGGACTGATCGTCGCTCAAGTGCTATAGGTGTAGGCAATGGTTTGACTAATTCCCTGAAACTGGAGGCAATTAAAACTCTTCATTTGCGAAGAAGCCAAGCTAATGACCCATAATCATCGTCATTATTTGTTGCGGCAAATATATGCAGGCGGCATACAGTACAGGCTTTGTTCTTGGCAAGAACCGGAGAGATTAGCTACACAAGCATGGAGATGGTATGTCGGCCAGATTCCTAGCCGAACAGATCACTGCCAGTGTCCTGTCTCTTGATAAGATTATTAATAATTCTTCTATATAACACAGAGCCTTTCACATCGAGAGGACGTCTCCAAGCGCTTTAGACTTCACTGTAAAGTGTAGTGACTGTGTCAGCAGACAATTTGTGGACAGCAACAGTCATGAAGTGAGTGAGTGACTGATTGTCGGCCAGCACACCAGGACAAACTCACTCCACTTTTTGAATGGGGCCTCAGGATCTTTAACGTCCACCTGAACAGACAGATTGAATGGTTACAAAGAGACCGGACGATGGAAGAAAAATTATTTGATAATATAAAAAACAAAAAGCTACATTAGTGATGGGAAAAAATTGAAATATTTATGATGGTATTATTGCAACATAACAGAAAATATAGTGAGGTTAATAAATAAATCTAGCATTTGGATGCCCCACATCTATTCATTTTCTGTAATGAACAGAGGGTAGGTAAGTGTATGTAAATAAAACAGCATCTTCTCTCATAGCCTGATTCAGTCAGTAGTGCTCTCGTCTCAGAGACAGAAGATTGTGGGTTCAAGCCGCCACGTCGGGACTTTGAACTCATATAGCAACTGAGAGGGGAGGGGGGATTGGGACAACAAGTGCTGGGCTTCATGTGGGTGATGGTGGGAGAAAGGGAGGAGGGAAAGATGAAGGCAAAGGGGTGCAGGGTGGGGGCTGTAATGGAATGAGCCTGTAGTAGACCTGGAGAGGAGGAGAGGCAGCCAAGGGGATAATGCTAATCTTAGAGATAATGAAATCCGGGTCCTCTTCAAGCTTGGCATCTGAAGTGAGGTTTGAGGGTGCTTGAGAGGGGTGTGCAGAAGGTGGTGGAGAATAGGATTTGGGGGCTTTTGGCTTTGAGAATGGTCTTTTTTCGGTCAACCGGGTGTCTGACACATGCTTTAGAGTCTCCAAACCATCATCGTGTTTTAGAGTTTCCAAACCAAACTGAAAATTCCATGATAATAATAATAATAATCCTTGCATTTGATATAGCGCTTTTCACGTCGGGGGACGTCCCAAAGCGCTTCACAGAACACACTGTAAAGTGAATTGACTGTATATTTGTGGGCGAACGCGGCAGCCAATTGCGCACAGCAATGTCCCACAAACAGTTGTAGATTGAAAATGACCAATTTATTATTGTTTTTGGTTTTGGAGGGATTATTATTAGGCTCTGTGTGGAGTAAGGAAACTTGCCCAAGGTTTCGCCCTCTGCCTGGAATTGAACTCAGGTCTCTCACTTGCAAAGCGAGTGCTCTAACCACTGAGCTACAGGACTCCACATGATCCCACCTACACATGGCAATCCCAGAGATACATTGTTGGAATGGAATGCGCTCTCTCTCTTTTTCTCTCTCTCTCCCTGGAGGGACACATCCCGTTTGCCTAATTCCGGTAAATATTAGGCATAAGTTGGCAAGAGCCGAGGCTTGAAGAGGTAACTGCTGGAGTCCAACCAGCTAAAACCACATAGATTGTCATTGATATCGCTCTCTGGCCAAGCTTTTCCACTACTTGTCCAGCTAGGACCACCCTACCTGTTAAGGCTTTGGTTGCAGGTTTGACAGGAGCCGAGTAGGAGGATTCCCTGTCCCTAGTGACTAATCTACTCTTCCAAGTGGTGTTGATGAGCCACACTGGCTGAGCTGTCATCGGCAGTGCCCTGGAATACTCCCGAGCTCGACCAACATTCCGTTGCTACTCCATTCCGACATGAGACCCCGCTACCTCCCCCCCAAGGAGGACAGTCACTGGTTGGTTGGTTGACATCTGACCAGAGCAGGTTTGAGTCTCACTAGGTGGATGGCAGGTACCAGGAATTCCCTGCCAGCTTCCCGGTGAGCAACACAGCTCAGCATTGCCATCGTTTCCTGTTCACAGGTCGGACACACGTCCTTTCCCATCGGCGATGGTTCCACCAGTTGATTCGCCTACATAGCATACTTTACAGTAATTCCTGTGAAGCATTGAGAAGGCCTTCTGGCATGAAAGGCTTTGTATCAAATGTCAGGATTATTATTATGATGTCAACTTGTATTAACCAAGCTCTCATCTTGATGCTGTGCCACAACACTCCGCTGATAGAAGCTGCTACTCCAAAGGTTACCAGTCTGCAATTCCAGCCTAATTATACCCTCCAGACCCAACTCAAATAGCAGTGATGGACTCATCCCGGTCGTGATAATCTGTAAGTGGGTTTAGAGACTTCTCAAGGCTCCTTCCTGTTCTGCAAAACCATGATTAAGTCATGTGGTTGCTAGTAAGTGAGAGTGTGGCCAGCCTGCGCTCTCAAAACTAGGGGGTAAATTCAGAATAAATCAGCGGAAACACAACTTCAGTGAGCAAGTGGTAAACCGCGCCACAAACGATGGAAGCAGAAAGTGTCATTTGTTTCAAGAACAAATGAGATAGATTTATGTTAGGAAATAATATCTGGGGATACAGTGTGTAGTTTCGGACACGACATGTCTTGCAATGGCCAGGATGGTGGAGGGCAAACTGGATGGACCTTGCTCTTCTTTTGCCAGCAAATTCTTATGTTCCTATGTTCTAAAAGTGAGAGGACTGCCTCATTCTTCCCATTTAGGAGAAAAACAGCTGTTGATGGTGTCTGTGTATTTCTGTTGCTGATAGACATCCAGGATGCCAATTGTTTTCCTACAGGAAAATTGGTCAAGGGACCAGAGCGATTTCTAATTTATCTCCCTTTTAAATCCTCTCGTTGGACATGGAAATTTTCAGCAGAGTGAGACCATTCAGCCCATCGCGCTTGTGTCGCTGCTTCTAGCACTTTCCAGTCGTCCCTCAAAACCCCTGACGTCTCAGATGATCATCAAGTTCCCCAGTGAATGATTCTATTGATTCACAGTTAATCAGTGTTGCACTGTGTTCTGAGGCAGCCTGCTGCCAGGTGTCTGTCAGTACTGATATCCAGACTGGTATTCCAAGTGGAGATTACTCAACCCTTCAATATTTCCCCCCAGTCGCTGTTAGGCATTACCCTCTCCGCCATTTATTTCTTCTTTATCATCTTCTTGCTCCAACAGACGGCAAATAGCCTATGATACTATTCACCTACAAAAACAATCACTATACTTGACTAATAATAATTTAATGATAATAATCCTTACATTTGATATAGCGCCTTATAACGTAATTGAGGTGTCTCAAACAGCTTCACAGAATATTCTATAAAGTTGATTGACTGTGTGTTTTGTAAGTGAAACGCGGTAGACAATTGCGCACAGCAACGTCCTTCAAATAGTCATGGATTGAGTTTCATTCCTGTAAAGAGGAGATTCAGTGATAAGGTACTATAAAAATCATATTTCTTTCTATTCTTTTAGCCCATGACCTCTCCCACACTAGGCTCCATGAGCCTATCACCTCCATCCTCGCTGGATTCATTGTCCCACTCCCCTC